CAATAGTTTATCATCTAAAACTGTGCATTTTAAAGAATTTAAGACGTTCCGAGAGAGGAAGAAAATGACTCACAGAAACGCTACATGAAGTCTAATGTAAAAAGATCTCGATAAAATGTAAAATAAATATTTTCTTCAATATTCGTAGGAACCGATGAATTCATCATGATTTATGCTTCGGCTATTCGCGTGAGTCCTCGTAAATACTGTGGCAGCCACCAATAAAATTTTATTTTAAGTTAAAAGTTTGTAGTGGTTACAAATTGTATCAATTCATTCTTAATTTGCTTTCGTTTTTAAAGTGTCATACACTTGAGTTTTCCTAAATTTAAATTTCTTTATCAAAACCTTGACAAGTATGTGGCTTTGTTCATGTACTTCTCATATAATTAGTCTAACAATCTCAAAGAGTTAATGTTTTCAATTTGCCACCTGATATCATAATCATTTGATTAGCATAATATCTGCAACTCTTCGAACTGAATAGCAAAGGTCCACCACAGAACCCAAAGCACGCATTACAAGAAATGTGGAAGGATTGCACTTCCCGTCTTCTACCTTCACACGGGCTTATGAAGTTCTAAGCTATTTCAAATCAACAGTGGCTTTCGCACGAGTAGCTTCGGAAACGATGTTCGGACGAAGGTAGCTGAGAAAGCGAATGGACGAGCACGGTTCAGAGTATATTTTGGTACGATGTCGTCACACAAGTCAATGTTTAATTTTAAAACAATATTTGTTTTCCGTTTTATCCAGAATTTTGAATATCGTCGTTCTAAAAAAAAAAGTATTTTAACTAGCACAGACTACAATTTTTTTCCAACAGTTTAATATTGATGAGGTTAAATTGTAGAAAGTGTACTATTTACGTACGTATTGATTCTGAAAGGTAGTGTACGAATATTGTATTGTACTTAAAAACCGGACTGTTGACAATAATCAAATTTATAAAATAAAATTACGTCCCAAATAATTAGATCAGCCTTCCGTATCGAGCAATACTGGCGATCATGCAACACTAGTGGCCCGACCGAGAAAGATGCAAAATGCCGTGAAATCGTGAAGACAGGCCGAGAAGGCACTCATCCGCCAAGTTATAACACCCAGGTGTAGTAGCCACGATATGAGAAATATCTTACATGGTGTGGAGCTCATGGTGTAAGAGAACTGGCGGGTTTCACCAATATTTTGTTAAGTGCTGATTTGCTAAGCGGGCTCAAAACTTAAGCGAGCTGGGTCAAACACACTTCATCAGTCCCCTCGCGGCGATCTAGCGGCGCGGCTTAGCTAAGCAGGTTTCGTGCGTCTTCCGCTAATGTTGGCAACGCCAGAAAGTAAACACATCAACATTTTGCACTTCTTTGACACAATTGTCAATTGCCATGGTTTTATCCAACGTTTGTAATATTTCGTTGACATATAGTTTGCTGATTGTGAGGTTAAGTTGTTACCGATTTTCAAATGGAAAAGCGCACTCGAAGTGCAAATTTCACCATTGCGGAACGCGAAATTTTACTTGAAATTGTGAAAGAGAATAGAAACCTCGTAGAAAATAAAGGAACCAGTGATGTTAGCAATCGTGAGAAAAATATCGGTTGGAGTATAGTGGAAGAAGAGTTCAATGCCTCGAGCGTAGTCACTAAAAGATCTGCGAAATGTCTACGAAAATGCTGGGAGAATTTAAAAAAAGCAGCAAGGAGATCGGTCGCTGCAGAGAAGGAAGAAATATTTCGCACAGGTACAGTATTATATTTCTTGTTCTGGTAGTTGTTAAGTCATTTGAAAATCAAATTATTGTGTATTTATCACGAAGTATTGTTTTCTGTTCATTCATAATTATCATATAATATGATTGATCAAAAAACTACTTATACAGATTGTCTTCTATGTATGCAGCATTGTGTTAACATGGTCATGCAAACTGTTTCTGTCTCTAGGGGGAGAGCTACCGAAAGCTGCAGTAAGAGATACCATTTTGGAAGGGGTGCTCAGCTTAATTAGTCCATCTTCTAGAATTGAAAACAATTACGATTGTGATGCACCAGGTAATTAAGAACACAGCAAATTACTTTAGTTATGCTATAAATATTTTACATGAATGTTATGTATGTTGGATAATTAGTGTTAAAAACTAGTTACGTATAGAGCTTGTGAATGTATACATGTGTGTATATATGTCCACAACATGTGTAATTACAGTTAGAAATTAATTTCAGGAAAGCCAAAGGGAAGAGAAAACGTCACAGAGGACATTTTGAAAATTGAGATTCCAACAGATCAGGTGCGATGATAGTGATTTACATTACATAATTACATACAAGGCAGGTTTAATGGTAATGCAGACACGCTACAATGATGAGCAGTAGTGGCTTTTTGATACAAATTGAAATTTTTTGATTGGTTTTATAAATATTTTATAAGGGCTTTTGTCTATAACAGCCTACCAGTTGCCATTGTATATAATTTGTTCAATGTATACTTTGTTCTTTGTTATATTACAGGCGTTTAATGATTGGTCTCGTTGGAATCCAAAGAAACTGAGTCATCCTGCATCTCAACCACTGCAATTTGCAACAAATGGACACATATCCTCAACAGTGTCTGAAGCTTCTGATGATCCATTAACAGAACATTTGTTTGTGACACAGGCAGTATCAACTTCCTCTCCTTGCAGTTCACAGGCCGCGGTGGAAGGACATCCACCCACCCCTATCATGCTTCTGCACCCATCCAGTTCTATCCCCATTCCATCCTCCTCAAATACTACAGAACTTATAACCACCCCACAATCAAAAAGTTCTCCCCCTTTGCAAATTCGATACCGTATGTCTGCATGGAGAGGAAGAAGACGGCCAGCATCGCCAACAGCAGCAGCACCACCACCACCACCACCACCATCACCATCACAGAGTGCAGAAGAGGTGTCCAGAGCCCTATTGCAAGCCAGGCTGGACCTAGTAGAACTAAAGAAGAAGCTGGTCCTGGAAGAGCATGAGTGGAAAAAGGAGCTCCATAGGGAACAAATGCTAGAGCAAAAATTAAGAAATAGACTGCTATTGTTAGAGGTAAGGAAATGTAAGAGTGCAAACACCAAATAAATATTTATCATGTGCATTTTATTAATTAATTTGTAGTGGTTGAAAATAATTTACAAAAGCACAACGTTCTGGATCATGCACTGTTCTGCATGGCTGTCCTCTTCCATCTGGTGCTATGTTTCCTTCTTCAAGAAGCACTTCAAACGAAGCAGGAAGCTGTAGTTCAGGGTCCTCCGGAGGATTTTCTTCATCTCTTCACTGTAAAATATTATGCAGAGTTGCAGTGGCTACGATAATGGGTATTGTTTTTTCTAAGGATATTCTAATTCCCCGGGCCAAAATCGGAGACCGTCTCTTCCAAACCCCAAATAATCTTTCGATTACATTTCTTGTCTGTATTTGGGACTCAATGAACAAGTTTTCTGCTACAGAGCCACCATCCACTTAAGAACAGTTTCCATACCTTCCTTCCCTGAAAAGAGTATGGTGACGAGAACTTTTAAAAATATGTACATCATGGGTACTGCCAGGCCATCTGCTGACAATGTCTGTTGTTTCAAGATTGCCATTGCAAATGACTTGGACAATCAATGAGAAATATCCCTTCCTGTACCTAAAAACTTCTGCGCTTCCACCACCTGGTGAGGCAATTTTTATGTAGTCACCTATTGCCCTAGGAAACTGCAATGGTATATAATCCATGATGAGTCCTGTGTACCTGATCTGGTGTAGAAGGAAAGGAAATGTGCTGGGGTCAGAGTGATGCTGTGGCTGCAGACACCCTGTGAATAATTTGGTGTGCTGTTGCCTTACTTGTTCCAGCAAAGTCTGCAGTGGAGAGGAGAGTATTGCCAGTACCATAATACGTTAATGTGGTAAGCAGCTGATTAATTGGAGACACCAAATAATTCCTGCAGAATATAAATTTTCCAATGTACATATAGGGCTTGTATATTTTATTACTTCAATTTCAATTTGTGATATGAATTTAAGTGCTTGTCCATTAAGGTTACAGAATAGTGGCAAATTTTAACTTTTTCTTGGTGTAATTAACTTTTTATAATTGAGTTATTTTTTATTTGTTTATTCTATCAAATTATTATATAATCATTATTAATTTTGGGTTTGAATAACACTTGTCTTGTTGAGAGAAATGTTATTATTTTTTTACTTATAATATTTCTATTTATTTATATATATATGTTTTATTTATTATTGAGAGAATCATATAGCTTATTGTACAATTACAGCCCGTAAGGTTGGATAATGAGTTGAAACATTGGCAAAGAAAATAAGTCTTGTAAAGTTCTGTGCGAAATTTCATCTTTTTTGGGGGAGGGTATTCGTTATGGACATGTTAAATTCATATATCACGTATATACATGATGCAGTTTTGGATGTTCATAAGTATTAAATATCAAATTAATAGGATTATGACTAGAATTTCGTAGTGTTCAAATTCGTACTGTATTTAAAATTGAAATGCCGTACTGATAAAAGCCTATCATAACCCTAACCTGAGTTACAAATGTTATCTTTTTACAATTGCAAGATATACCGGGAGAAATACTGTTTATTGAAGGTGTAAGCTTTCAGGTTTCTGTTATGTAGTTACAACTAGGCTACACTAGATGTAAATTATAGTTTTTCTTCGATCTGCTTGAACACCAATAATGGCATGTCTAAAAAAGGCGAAAGCGAGTCCGAAAATCAATTTCATCGGTGTCTTCGAAGAAATTTGCCCTCTCTAGGATCTAGGTGGAGAAATTCTATACTCCAAAGCGTGGTTGCCGACACAGAATGCAAGTGCACGTACCCACCTCCCCCATAGTGTTTTTTTGGGGTCCCCTTTAGCCAGCTTAAGTTCCTTAAGCGATCATCCGGCGAGCGCTTATGTATATTCCGTAGCTTAATGCTAAACGAGGCTTACGAACAATGGTGAAACGCTTTAGGCTTTATTACTACGAAAAAATTAGATTGTACAGAACTTTGTGAGACTATTTTATTTCATTTGCCAATGTTTTAATTCATTATCCAACATTCAGGGCAGTAATTGTACAATTAGCCATTCTGTAGGGTAATATGATTATTATTTTTATAAAATATACGACATTCCTTTAAACAAGACAGGCTAATTGTTTGCACCGTGTAACACAAAATTAATAGCGATCGTAAATTAATTTGATAGAATAAACAATGAACAAAAATACAAAATTCATGCAGTATTAGCAAACTATAGGACTGAACCAAATGGTGATGGTCCACGATATAGGATAAACAATTTCAAAGCATGGAGACTTTGTCAAAGAACGTCGATGTGTTTACTTTATAGCGTTGCCAACATTTGCAGAAGACACGAAAACGCGTAGCTAAGCCGCACCGCTAGTTTGCCGCGAGGGGAGTAGTGAAACGCGTTTGCCGTAAGTTCACTTAAATTTTGAGCGAGCTTAACAAAGCAGCGCATAACGAAATATTAGCGATCATCCGGCGAGCGCTTATGTACAAAGCGTAGCTTAATGCTAAGCGCAGCTTACGAACCATGGTGAAACGCTATTTTGACATACGCTCGCTTACTTGTGCTAAATCTTAGACGGACGTGGTGAAACTGGCCCTAAACGAACAAACTTTATCTTTAGAATCAAGGAATCTCGCGTACCATAAGCAACTCACCATATCACAATATCAAAAAGAACCATATCACACACCAATAAAAAAAAAGTTTACTCGAACAAAGATATGGTGATAACATCATATGCTTTGAAATGGTTTTTACATTTTATGTATAATTTTGTTTAAAAACTTAAAATAATGTTATAACGAAATAATGGTACTTCACTAGCTCCAATACCTCCCCGCCCCCTGCCATCTCAAGTCATGTTTTTTCCAACTTGCAAACAAGCAAGTCTCCTGAATGCCCTTTTTGCTCTGG